AAACCAGCCAATAGACCGATTTATGGACTGGTTTATGGACCAGTCCTGGACAACGGTCCAGTCCGCGGTCCTCTGATAGGACCAGTCTTTGGGACCAAGACCGGACCGGGACGGACCGTAACATCCCTATTCATCTGATGAAAGACGAAACCTTAAACTTAAAATGACGAAATCTTATGCTCAAAAAGACGATTCCGCTAAAAAAAAAAAAAAAACATACAAAGGAAACAAATGTTATTACATTCATAATTTATTCAGAGATTAGTATCCGATATCCGAAATTACATTGTATACCAGCAAAAATAAACCAAACAACGCTAAGTTGTTATAGACCGGTTGAATAACCTTGTCAAAAAAATAATGAATTAAACCATACTGGCACAAAATAAATTTGTAAGATCACAAAGTAAGCACCAAGCGATTTCTCACTAGAACTGGTATGCAGTGTACTAGTATAATCAATATATTATAGAATACTCCCTTTAAACAATTCAAGACCTATTATACAATAAAATTTTTTGTAATTTTTATAGATTTCTGTTTTTGTTAGTCTATTTTTTTTATACACATAATCTTTACTGAATTTCAACAACATTTATTTGTATATTTGTCTTTTATTAGTTTCGTCACTTTATCAGTTTCGTCACCTTTCATCAGTTTCGTCGTTTAAGATTTTAATTGACGAAAGACGAAACTAGGTTACGCGTTTCGTCAACGCGAAACATTGAGATTTCGTCTAAATCGATTTTTCTTCCCTATTGATATTAAAAAATATTTAACCTATTTATATTGTAAAATTACAAAATTTAAGACTTATATACACGAATAACAGATTCTCCGATTTTTCTTTGCTTATTTTTTCGAATTTTTGATGCAGATGAACCACCATCTGACCTATAAGATGGAAATATGTGGTTAATAACTAATATTGTAAAAATGCGTAATGTGTTTGAAAATTACATACTTTTCAATTCTCATTCCCTCAATATCTTTTAATGCCATATCAATGATAAAGGTCCAAACATGACTTACAAACCATGCCTCTAAATTATCTTTAGCAAGGGCATTCACGCTTTGCTCCCATTCAATAACACTATATTGATTAAGAAAAAACATTAGCCAAGGATCATAACATTACATAAAAAGAGTAACTTACAATTTGGGGGTGAGTCAGTAGAAACGCACCATATTTTTTCTAAGTAAATTTTTTTGAAACTTTAAACAAGAATAATTCAAC